TCATCATCATCATCATCATCATCATCATCATCATCATCATCATCATCATGATCATCGCCCTCGATCCTCATCCATCCTCATCGATCATCATCCACAACAACCTCATGTTCTTTCACAAGCTAACTCAGCTCCAGAGCTCCAGCGACTCCTCGTGACAAAACAGGCTCTGACTCCAGGCTGAACACGCCTTGCCTAGGTTAGCTGAACACGCCGATGCCTAGCGACTCTTCGTGATTCCTCGGGGCCTCCGCGACAGGTCCGACTCAGCCTGGGGCCCATTCGCACCGCCACGGCAAGACGCGCGCAGGCTTCGGACCGAGCTCCTCTTGCGGTCCGTCCGGGGGACCTGTGCACATCGGGAGTTGTTACGACCTTTTTTCTTTGGACCTTTAGGTTCCCGCAAACAGTTATTCTTTTTGGAATGCGCAGCCACGCGAAGGGTTCTCGTTGATCGTCGGGGTGTGGGGGTTGGACTGTGGGTTCCATCTTGTTTTTGACCCTAAGAATCCTTGGGCTGTCCATGGCAGGGGTCGGACCCTCAATAGCAGGGGTCCGGGGCCGAACCAAACCCTATTTGTTGGTGAAGGAGCCCAGATTCTTAGGGTAAATAGAACCAATCGAGGCCAATCGACCGTGAGGCGCCGGCCATCTGTCGAAGTGAGAGCAGCTGGTCAAGTGGTCTTCAACCATAGGGCCATACTTTTTCGCCGTTTCGCCTTTCTTTCACCGGTTTTCTCGCTTCGTCCGGATGCTTCTCGGAAGCTCCGTCCGTCGGTCCGAGTTCGCAGGGGATGAAACGAGTCGGTGAGTCAGTCGAAACGGAGCACTGTAGCTGCTGGATGAGCTCGAACGCACGAAGCGATAGCATACACTCCCTGGAAGCGGAAGTGGACCATAGTCCCAAGGGAAGACCATTTTCCGAATACCAAACAGATGGTTTTACACTTCCATGTTGGTTCCAGGGAGAGTATACTACCTGGACCATCCGAAGGCTGTCCAATGGAGATCCCTAAGCAGTGTAATTAGGGTAGTCCCTAGTCCAGCCAGGACACCCATTGGATAGTCCTGGTGTGTTAGTCATGAAATCTATGTTCAATCCTCGTTTTAATAAGCCTGAAAATTCTTAGCACTTGTCCATTGACGTGTGGATTTGGATGGTACGCAATGCCTTGCAGCCGTAGTGATGTGAACATTTTTATGGACTGGGAGATGTTGTTGAAGTGATTAGTGGTCTGGAGCCACCCTGAGTGAGATGTCATCAGGCATGAGTGGACCACATGTGCATGGATACACTGGGCATCCTGACCCTCCAAAAAGCATATCACATCGAAACAAGAAGTCAGATAGGAGTCAAATCTCTTTAGCCGATAGTTCTTGAATAAGAACTCCTTCAGTATTTGGGCATCATAGGTGCAAACTTTTAGTAAGTAGCACGCTTGTGAGTTTGATCCCAATTTCCTTTTCTGAGGCGCCCCCACTGTGCTTGTCCAAGAAGGGTTCATTCCATTCTTTGAGAAACAGGGCGATGAGAAGGTTCCCCCCTCAGGGCTTCATTCATCATAGACACGGAGGGACGTGGAAGACCCGAAAGGAAAGGATGGCACAAAAGGATACAACAGGCAGATGACCTTCGATACTCAGAGGTTTCAGAGTAGATGGCACAACCCCCCCAAGATGTCTTAGACAGATGGGGATCCATAAACCACCTATATAACTTGGTGATTGTGCCATTGGTCCTCTCAATCCACTGTAAAGGTTTGGTGTGCCAATGTACCATTTGTTGCTGGGTGTTCGGCCGCTTGGGCCTGGTCTTCGAGTTTAGGTGTGGCGACGTCCCTCCAGGGCTTCATCAGACACACCTTATATGTCACAATACTATAGGAGCTGCTTCTGTTACACTCTGGAAGATTAACATGGAACCTGAAAACCGGTTTGTAGAAGAAAGTCGTCTTCCAGTCTGGTCCATGTTCAGTTTCCATGTCAACTTTCTCGGGTGTAAGCGTTTGCCTCCCAACAGGGCCCCACACCTCTGGAGGCTTAAGGCTCGGCTTATACAGCGTGGAGCGGGAGAAGCAAGCAGCCTGGAGAGGTATTTTCAATTGAGGGACTCGCCGTGGGCCACTCCCTGAGGTCTTCATAACATCTCAGTCGTCCCCAAAGAGCGCCTCAAGGACGGAGCTGCGAGCGCAGGAAAGAGCTGAAGCCTTCCGCCGAAGCCTTCTTTGGACCTAAACGGGACCAATGCAAATGACAAATATTGGAAAAAATCAAAAGAGTTGACATTGAGATGCTGACATTTTGGGTTGGGATGTGAATCACCAGCCCTTGTTCCATTAGTGTTCTGGTCCGGGGGGATAGCACAAGGCTTGATCATAGGGAAGTAAAACAGCGTTTCACCGGACTTTTCTAGACCCAACCGCTGCATCCACCGATCAGATCGCAAAGCCCGGCTGAGCCCAGTTGGATTCTCACAAACACGGTCAGCCATGAATGGACAGGCAGCTTTCAAGCCAGTTGAAGGAGGTTTTAGATGTTTTTAGTAGTGATTGTTTGGGTTGGACAATACAGGTTGAGCTCACAGAGTCCTGGCCCTGTTTCATGTTTGAATGTCGTCCACTCGACCCCTTGTTTACACCTTGACTTGGTGACAAGCTGTTGTGGGTCAGAACACAACACCTCAGAACCGAAGAGTACTTCAGGAGGAATATATATATATATATAATATAGATTGTTGTTTTCTTACGTTTCCTTCTTGCCAGGTCTCAAAAAACCATCTGCTGTATGTAGATCAGCCGCGGTCGAAAGAAAAGAAGTCCAGTCTATCGCGTGGCCAGTGTGGGACGGTCAATGATCACCCTTTGACCGCTTTGGAGGGAGGAAATTCGACCGTGTGAAGTACCACAAGCATCGACAGCAGGATTCTATGGGGAAAGGGTGGTCAATTTGGAACCTTCGAGAGAACAACCTTTGTCCCAGTTGTGTATTTACAGGCTACGTGTGGATGAACCAAGTATACTGACCAGCTCTATTCAATCTCAGAGCTTCGGAATGGAGATGGAAGACTACCCAGCCTAGATTTCCCAGGCAGCTGGACAGAGTCGGGGGTATCTTCTTGCAAAATCATCCTTTTGGCTCTCCCCCTTCGAGGGACTGTTCAAGCAACCTGACAGGATGACAGGATGGGCCCCCCAAATACAGCACATCCTTCAGCATTTCCGAGCTCAACATCTCAGAGAAATCAACCCTTCTACTCGGACGAACACATCACATCGAAGTGGAAGACCCCCCTTAAGAGCAAGAAGCTACGTTCCGGGGCTCCTGGCATCGCTACGAACGGAGCGCTCGGACGCTACTAGGGGCTCCTGGCCTTGCTACGAACGGAGCAAGAGGACGCGAACCGTTGCAGTCGCAAAGGGGCGGGTCTTTCTTCGGCTGTTTGGTCTTCAGAACCTGTCGTCGGAAGACCATTGGCTTCCGGTACCGTCGCCGTTGGCATTTGTTACGACATCGGCACCCGAAACCAATGCCATCCAGTCCCGAGGTGCCGCTGCAGCGGTAGGGACTGGTAGACCCAACAAGAACCAACACAGCGTTGAAGAAGCCTATACCTATAGACCAGCCCAGTTGGCTACCCTAGGTGAGTAGGGTTCTGAAATTCAGGTCACATAATAACCTTTCTTGGAAGGATCCCCGCTGTATCGCCCTGGCGAGAGCCGACCGCCTTTGACCTCGCAAGGCTGGCTGTGACGATGTGGGCCGCCCAGACGATGCAGCTGATCGCGAAGCACTCACCGCCCAACAAGGCGGTTGGCTGGAAGAAGTTGCTTGGGGGTGTCTCATTGCCTATGATACAGTTGGTGAACGGTCGGTACAATTCTGACGCTTTTTTAGAAAAGCCTGCACCCTAACCGTCATCATCCATTGTTACAGGGAATGGGATATACCCCAGACATGACATTGGGACACTCCAGGAATTCCAGATTTTACTAGAGTTCCACATAGTAAACGACTCATTGGATCGATCAAAGAACCACTCCAATCTGGAAGAACTGGCTGACAGACCAATGGGTTTCTGCAACCAATGCTGGAGTGGCGGAAATGTTGACCGCCTGCACACGACCCGTGGATCTGGTAGATCAGCGCCGGGGGTCCCGCGGCGTCAACGTTGACAGTGAAGGCTGCCGTGATGAGCATACAACGTTCGGGGCCCGCAAGCCGCTCCGGCTCCTTCACGCGAGCCTTCACCACCAGTGCCCGGCTGGCAGAATCCCCGTTCTTTCGCCTCGCAACACCAAGGGGTGGAAGACCCAATGGAAGGGTGACGAATGGAATTTTCTGGCTGCCAGGGACTCTTTCTGCACATTGTGGGTCTTTGTATGCATTTGATAGATCTTCTCCCATAAAAGATGTGGGACCAAACTGCTTGGAAAGCGTCCTTTTCCAGTGCGGGACATGTTCCACATCGTGGTGAGTGCAGTGGCCAGATGCGCTTGAGATTCAAAAAGAAGCATGGAGAGAGACAGAGATAGATAAATAGATAGAGATCGAGATAGAGAGCAAGAGAGACAGAGAGCGAGCGGACAACTATTTCTATATGCATGCCAATACATTATACATACACGATCTGACACTTCACCTCTTGACTTTTGACACACATCCTCTGGCCTCTTTGGGGAAACAGGTCCTTGGTGCTGAGCCTGCATTTGGCTCGTTCCGCGTCGCAGGTCATGTGGGCTTACGGGAGAGAACTGGCATGCTTGATCGAACGATGCCGCACGGGACGCTCCGACGCTGCCCGATCTCCTTCCGCAACATCACAAGGACAGCGGTCGCCCAACTGTCCTGTTTTTGAGTATATCTTCATGGCTGCCATTTGCCCCTTTCGTGCGCCGGGAGACATGTGTACACCCAGCGTTCGTGTCGAGCTGAGTTTAACAGTCATCAGACTTAGACTTCACAACCATGAACAAGCGAAGGACTCAAAACCAAGGAACATCAGGGGAATCAAAACAACTCCGGGTCCTTGACTAGGTCGTTTTACAGGAGTTGTTTTTAGAGGAGTTGTTTTGACTAGGTCGTTTTACAAGGGGACTAACACATTTGGGAAAACATGTTCCGACTTCGCAGTCCGTCACTCGCTTCGCTGCTTCTGTGCCAGGCTCTTCTCCAGTGCAGCCTTGGCCGTCTACCACTTTGTGGCCAATGGCGAGCTGCTGGGCCCAGAGGGGAAGTACTGCGGTGGCACCCGGAGACCTGCGGGGCTTTTTCCCGGCGTTGGTCCACCCATCCTGGCAGGTCGCTACCAGGGAGATGAACAGATTTGTGGGGGGGGGGGGCGCGAAAACTGACTAAACATTCCCTACTAGATCTACTAGTTACTATACCTGCACCTGAAGAACAGGTGTGTCCTGGTTTTCCTGCCCTGAAACCACCTGTGAAGGTCCAAGGATCACCTGCTGGATGGTGGATGCTGTGTCAGTGATTGGATTGAGACCGGTCTTCCATGGTAGCCGGTCACGATTGGAGGCTCGGGTTCCCAGGCACTGCAGCAGGCTTCTCCAGGCTTCTCCCTGCGTTTGGATGGAAGGCATGGACTGCAAGCCATGTACCTTCCTTCCAGCTTGGGGCAGATGAAATGAACTGGAGTCGAACTGAACTGAGAATGAGCTGCCTGCAGTTGCCTGCAGTTGATGTTTCTCTTTCAGCTGTGAACCCGGTTTCACTGACTTGCAGGGATATTTCGCACGCCGCCCGAAGGCCTAGAAAAAAAGGCTTAAGGATTCGGATGTGGTGGCTTTACCGTGTTTGGGGGTGTTTGGCCTTTCTGGCAAAAGTTCAGTCAGATCAAAGAAACGCAATCATATAAATTACACAATGACTTGTGACGAAAGCAGCTTGCAGGATTTGTTTTCTTTTCTTAAGAGTGTTGTGTTTCTTTTATTTTCTTTTCACAGTCACCACCATCTCTTTTCAGCACATCTGGAAAAGGACTCTTGTATTGTATGATTAAACATGGTTTCCTTTTGGACTCCACAAGTCCAAGCCCCTGTCGGCTTCCATAGAGTCACAACTGTACTTAAAATACCAAACTTTAACGAAGTTTGGACCACACCCGGCCGGGAACCCGGCTTCTCAAAGGGTCCGGACGTCCGCAGCATCCGGTGCGTTAAGCAGCCGGTGTTCCAAGAGCCCGTGTTCCAAAGAAATAATAAACAACACAGTGAACTCGGGCTGACAATTGATATCAAACCTAAAGAGTTAGGGAAGATGAAACAGAACAGGAGCATCCAGACCTGGATGTCCTGGCTGGACTACCCTGTACCTGGAGCACCGCTAGTATACCTTTTCCTGTCCATAATGTAAAAAGATGTCTTTTAAAGACCTGGACAGGAATTGTTGTCCGGGACGTGATTTCCCGTAATGGTTGATTTAGACCTTGCTTGGAGGCTGCAATGCAGTATAAACCAAGAAACCATATATGATAAGGCAACTTGGGCATCTTTAGGATAAAGATCTTATATACGCTCCAGTTGTTGCCAATAGTGGGTTGGCGCAAGGGTTTGAATCCAAATATATGATTGCATCACAGGGTTATAAACATCTTGGCCTTTGACCCCTCACATAAGAAAGAAACAAGGGCCATCAAGGGCTCCAATGACACTTGCTAAAGGTATGTCATATCAAATTAAGGATGTAGGCAGTTTCCCCTATACCACCAACCACCACCCCACACGCCTGGAAGCGATTCCTGGCACTACCAGGGGCGCCTGTCGTCTCCCTTTGTTTTCACGCGAAGGCTCAGTTGGGGTATAGCTGAGCCGGCACGCATTTGCGTGCGTGGCCAATGAACATGGACCGCGACACTCGCTTCAACATTCAAGTCAATTGGGCATTCAAAGTGATGTTGAAGATGGACTGCGGTTTCCGTCGATATCCTAAAGGTGGGTCGAAGCAACAAACATCCACCCTGACAGGTCCTTTCCATGCATGGGTACTTCTTGAATTCCAGGATGCCAAATGGTCTATGGGCCCAACATAGGCAGCCATTAGTGATATAGTGATCCAACTATATACAGAGGTCCACTTTGTTTATATACCGTATATGTCTGATTGACAAATCACCAGTGCCGTAGCGGATGTCGCATGATGTCACGGGTTCCAGTGCTACGGCCGCAAACTCGTGCCCCTGGCCTGCTTGTGCATGATGCGATTGCCATTGCTAATGGGTACTGTGAACAAATGTGGTTCATCCTGCATCGCATGAGATCTCAATGGGATCTGTTAGATTGAGCTATAGAACCAAATAGATTTGCTTGATTTTGTTACCAGATTTTTTTGCATTCTTTGTCTTGTTATATGTTGACGGCCAGCTTTGTCAATGCAAGCTTGCACCTCAGCAACTCTCATTCGTGCAGCCGGTCCTCCGCAGACAGGGGATTGCTCAGAGGTGAAATCAGGGTTTGCTAGGCATGGCCAAAACCAAGGCCATGGCCATGTGTGTGCAAGTGCGGTCTCCGGCTTTGAGATCGCAGGATGGTGCTGCTAGCGAAGGCAGCTCTCCAAAAGGTTCCCCTAGAAGTGTGGTGGGGGACTATGGGCTTGAGAATGTCCCTGTTGAATGGGACAACCATCCAGCAATCCGAGAGCGCATCCGAGATGAGAAAAACCTTTGCCTTTCCTACGACTTTGAGAAGAGGGAAGCTGTTTCAAAGTATGTTGAACCCACCATTGAGAACCTCAAGATAAATGAGGCAGTGTTGATGCCATTGGCGAAGATCATGAGTCACCACGACCTTCAACTCCCAGCCATTGAGAAGCTCATCCATGCCGTGGCTGAGTTTTTTCAATTGGCCAAGCTCTCCCGGACTTCAGACCAATGCTATCAAGAAGCATGGGCACTGCGGCGCATGATTGGGAAACTCAAGAGGTTTGCATACAGAAGCACAGCCCCACAGGACTTTTCATCACGAAAACAAACATCAAATCAATCCAGTCTACATGTTTGTTGGGTGGACTGTTTTCGGCAACTTTGCCAGAAACACCAACCTTGTTCAGTGATTCGTTTTTGTTGTGGTGACAACCCCAAAATGATCCCAGGGATGTGTCAAAACACATTATGTCAAAACTTGAAAGAGGTGTTGAGCATATATAAGATTCATTCTGTCCACAAATGGCTCTTGTCTCCCCCCATGTCCTTCCAATGCGATGTCCTCCAGGATGAAAGCATCCAAAGCCTGGTGGAAGCGCTGGGATTCAATCTTCAGGAGGGTATGGGCGCGGCCTAGCTCTCCGCACCATGCAGTCCCAACTGTATTTGACCCAAGCTGCTATATATACATAGTCGGTGTGCGCAGGGGGGTCGAATGATTGCCGCACAGGATGGTTGATATATGATGCATAAACTATAAACCCTCTCGAGTCTTCAAAAACAAATTTCTATGGCACACATTCAGGGCTTTGGATGTTGCTCTATATGGCATGAATAAGTCGAATATGGTCGAATCTAAATGGCATACACATGCATATGCGACTATATAGCCCTATATGAACGCGAATCCCCTTGAAGAGGTCTTCAAATTCCAATATCATGCACAAAATAGATGGTGATCAATGTCAACTGGAGTGAGCCATTTCTCACAAAAACACACCGCCGCGTGCCAAACCCTCCAGGACTGGCAACCTATATCAGGAGGACGCGATGTGGGCGACTCTTTGGGGGACGATTCTCAGGATCCTGAGCCTGAAGCACTAGCACCAGAAAATTCAGCAAATGGCTACAGCGACCTGTTCATGGATGATCCAATAGAGTTTGAACTCAACCAGATCGTCGATGATTTGGGGCAGAGTTTGCCGGAGGTTCCCGTGGCCGAGCCGCAGACTCTTGGCCAGAAAGCCGATGAGGTGGCTCAGAAACTTGATGAACCTGCGGCCCAAGTGCAGTCGGTGCAGCCTACCCCATGTCGGAGTGATACCCAGCCTCCCATCCTGTCAACCACTCCAACTGACATGCCTTTGAAGTCATTGGTTGCCCATGAGGACTCATTGTCGAAAATCCTCAGTCCCTCAAGTCTTTTTAGTTTTGAAGAAGGCACATAGGATGAATGAAGTCCTCTCCCCAGCCAAGCTTACAGCTTGCCTTCCAGGACTTGGGCGATGTTATGGACATTTCATCTGACGAGGAAGCACCGAACACTGCGCCACCCCAGCCAGTGAACTTCACAGTTGACATGATCGTGCAAGCTTTGCAAGATGTGCAAAAGTCACTTGGATGCAAGTTAGTTCAAACAAAGACTGCGTGGGCTTCTATATACGACAGACATGTCATACTTGTCTCAAAAACAGCTATAGACACCAGCATGCTTCCAAGGAAACGTTTTTTGTATATAAATAGAGAGTGAAGACCTGTTTGTATATAAGCATATATAGGATCAAGTATACTGGATTCATTCAAAACTTTGTGAATGGACCTTTGGAATAGTGTTCTTTCGAATACCTTGACATGTTAGAGCATTGTCCCTGCTTGCCGCCTCCCAGGTTGACCACGCTTCTGCCAAATGACCCTGTCGATGCCAAGCCTGCAGAGCTGGCTGATGCAGAGCCAGCTGCAAAGCTAGCAAGTTCCTTGTCTACAAAGACTCAAGACTAGAGGGCTGTTACATATATATATATATATACTTGATGAAGGTTTGAACAATGTTGTTTATATAGGCTCTCTTTCCCTGCAATCTTCTGCAGCATGAGTGCGATGAGGTTCAACTTCGGCAGTGGACCCCAACAAAACGATTCACATCTTGTCGGATTCTGTGATGCCCATGGCTTTGGACCATCACGAGACCCAACTGCCCGTTTCCCCTACTCAGCTCTTGAACACCGATGTGGCCATTGAAACCATCAAGAAGCTCGATGAACATGATCGCGAAGTGGAGCAACAGGTATCCCGGTGATCAAAACAACACATGACTTACAGTAAATTGCCCATGAGGCCATGGATTTCAATATTTTCCATGCACAACTAGATGTCTATATTGTTAAAGGGGCTTGATGCATACGTCGATCCGGATTCTCCTCCCCCAAAGGTGAAGACGACTGGCATGAATGGTATTGAGATCCCAGACCATGAAGTCATCACAAGGAGAAAGCAGTTTCGCATCAAGAAAGAGAATGCAGAAAAGAAGAGAGACAGGAAAGCGGAGAAAAAAGATACAGCTA